GTATCGACCACCTCACGCACGTGGCAAAGCAACACCCGAAATTTTCAAGGTATGCTCTGTAAGAATGAAGGTAATAATATTGATCTCAGTCGTGTTAACGTGGCATCCTGTTTTGCAGAGAGAGGATGAATCAAGTAAGAATTCGTTGCAAGACCATGGAACAAATAAGTCGGCGGGAACAACCGAAAGTTTGTAGAGAATTTCTTCAAGATCAGTACCGTTTGTTCTTGGCGAACCTTGTTGATTGAAATTTTATCGTTTGATATGTAGATTTGTCGAAGATGGCCAGCAGGAATAAGAGGAAACGCGAGTTAGCGAAGAAAAAGAAAGAAACATCGTCAACCACCGTCGAAGAGAATACTGGTAGGTTATCACGCCTGCTGCAATTGTATTGTGCTTTAAGTTCAACGAAAGTTAAAATTGTCTTGTCTCACACCAATAGAAATTCCTGCGAATGCTCAGTCTGTAATAATAAACAATGGAGCTCAGGTTGATAAGGATGACAAGACTACTAAGTCGGAGTCAATTTCTGAGGCGACATCGAGTTTATCCGAAAATGATAAAAAGATCCGAAATTTAACAAAGAAATTGCGTCAAATCGAAGAACTTAAGGAGAGGCAACAAAGCGGAGATAAGTTAGAGCAAACACAGGTTAGTCCATTCGACTTGCTATCAAAATTCCTGTTGATCAAATATTTGATCTCTAAACTGGACTTTGTGTAGTTGCAAAAAATTGCGAACGAAGCGTCGTTACGTAAGGAACTTGAAATGCTAAGACTTTGATACACATTTTAATTCGTCCTTTCAAAAAATACATCAACGAATTAGAAACAAGTAAATTATAAAATGATGATAGATTTTCATTTTGTATCACTTCTAATATTTACTCGCTAATAATGAAATAAAATTAATTACTCGGTAACTATTCAACATCACTCTCAGCAATTGGGGATAAGTCGGGTTGTTTATTTAAATACATGCAATTTTCGCGTGAGTAATCAGGGGTACATATATGAACCATCGGTGAGGTCTAATAGTAAGATAATACATTAAGGGAGCCATTTCATTTGAAACCAGTTCAGTTATCTCATTTCAGAGGGAAGTAAGTAGATATAATATTTGTGAAGACATCCACATGCAAAGAAGTTCGACGCCAAAAGTGCTCCACCACACGTTTTTATTTAAACTTGAATTCATGTTTTCTAGTTATTATTAAGGGATTCGATCAAATAACGAACTCATCATCACTCCCAGGAACTTTCGACAACTTCTCTCACTCTTCTGATATATTCTTTACGATTTTCCCTATATAAATTGGCAGCTTCGGCATTTGCGGGTGAATTCGGATTTGGATCATGAAGCAGACTTTGAATACTCGTCAGAATGGCAGCCACATCATATGTGGGTGACCACCTGTTTTGGAGGATGTCAAGACACAGTTCACCATTGGCGTATACATTCGGATGAAACATCTTGGAAATGAATTTGACGGAAGGTGGCTTGTTGGGATAATTCTCATCAAACTGAAGTGCCAACTTAAAAGTGCCATCTTCAAACGGCGTATCGGCTAAAAATCAAAAATGCGATGAAATAATACCAATGAGTATCAACAGATAACCCAATTAAAATTTGCCTAGAGTCATCTTCTCGAGCTTATGACGTCCTTTTCTTAATAAACTATTATCAGAAAGGCACACATTTTCGTCAAGAAATTTGAAATTCTATAGAAATCAAAATCGGACGTAATTACAAACGTAGTTTGTGTGGAAATGGCACTTTCCCTGTGTGAATCTTTGATACTTCCTAAGGTATGAGTAAGTTATAAAAGTCTTTCTTACCGGGTCCAAAGATGATTGCGTTCCATAGTAGAATATTGTCGGGACAGGGAGCACCTGAGATGCCGCCTGGTGGGTCGTTCTTGAGTCTTTTGAAATCACGCATAAGCCTGCGACGCGCTTCAGTCGACATGTTGTGTGTATATAGACAGATCTTCAGAGATAGACGAAACGATTAAAAAAAATTCCCTCAAAAGTAGAAAAAGAAAAAATGGAAATCGTATGGGTATAGAGGTAGGCGGATTGAAATTACGTACGTATAAATTTCTTGCTTATCAATTAATCTACTCAGTAGAATTGGTGTAACCCAAGTGAATATGGAGAAATTACGTACCATTTTCCGATTTTCCGGCGGCAAAAGAGTACCTACGTACTTCCGAGCAATATCAGAAGTTTGTGATTGCCTATCATATATAACAGCCTGCTTGCTTCTTCTGTACACGTTTTTTCCTTCCCATTTTGCGAATGTTACGTTTTTATTTGCAAAAACGCGAAGGTAATTAAAAAACTACATTCCGTTCCTTAAGCTTTTACTTATTTTATCACATTATTATAAATTCCCTTTAAAACGTCTTTGCAACTTCCAATTACATCCCGTTACACCGATCGATCAGGTGATCCTATAAAAACTCGGCTAAATAGGTTTCTGCATGCCTATTGATAATTGAATAACCTGTAAAATAAAATGGACGCTCTTTCAAGGTATCCCGTCTTCACTAGGACTGCTCTCAATTCGATCGTTTTACCCCCTTATTCACGTTTTATTCTGTTTCGCACCTTAGTGTACTCCCGGAACCCAGACATCAGCTTCTAAGTTCGGAGCAACAAACCCGTTATGAGCGTCATTACGATGAACTCACGGCTGCTAAACAAAAAAATCAACCACCCCCCTACGGCAGCAGGGCGGGTTGGAAACCGCGGAACGCAGACGATTTTGGAGATGGAGGATCGTTTCCCGAAGTTCACATAGCACAGTATCCTTTGGAGATGGGGCGTAGCAAAACGGTACGGGATCAAGGAATGCACACGCAACAAGATTAGATTAGGTTAAAGATCGCATCATTTTTTTTTTTTTTTAGAGCAAAAGTGGTGGAGCTCTTCCCTTACAAGTCGACGCTGAAGGCAATATTCGATACGATGACATTGCAAAACAAGGTCACACCAAGTCTCGAGTTATTCATTCACAATTTAAAGATCTAGTACCCGTGAATCAAAGATCAGACATAGAGCAAGTGACTTTGGATAGACCTAGCGAGGATGAGGTCAAAGAAACGACGGAAAAAACGAGGGAAGCGTTGGAGAGAATTGTGCAAGGTATGCGTGAAGAATCAGAGCGATCCGCTTGTACAAGAAGTCATCAATCGTTTTAACTTTTTTACAGGCAAAATCAAAGCTTCACAACCGAAAAACATAAAAAGCGACAAGCCTTCAGAGCCGACGTACATAAGGTACACTCCTGGCCAGCAGGGCGAAGCTTATAATTCGGGTGCGAAACAGAGGATAATTAGAATGGTAGAAATGCCCGTTGATCCAATGGAACCACCAAAATTCAAGCACAAAAAGATACCCCGTGGTAAGTTAAGGCATTTTGCCCTTTCATTCGTTAAGTGAATTTAAGATTTAAAGGAAATAACGCGTCGACTATTATCATTAATTAAATACAAGGTCCACCATCACCACCGGCGCCAGTATTACACTCCCCCCCTCGAAAGGTTTCCGCAAAAGAACAACAAGAGTGGGTTATTCCACCATGTATTTCAAATTGGAAGAACGCAAAAGGATACACGATTCCGCTTGATAAGCGCTTAGCGGCTGATGGACGTGGACTACAGGAGGTGATTTACATATTCGGTGGTTTTCAATTCCTTTTGATCATTATTCACTTATCTTTTTCTCAAAAATCTGTTCAGGTCACCATAAACGATAACTTTGCAAAATTATCCGAGGCACTTTTCACAGCCGATAGACATGCTCGTGAAGAGGTACGGCAACGTTCTTTGATGAGAGAAAAACTCGCCCAGAAAGAAAAAGAGGAGAAGGAAAAGCGTCTTCGTATGTTGGCACAAAAAGCTCGCGAAGAAAGGTATCATTTTTCTCAATGATTTCATTTGTTTGATATCGATTGTCGTATCCGTCTAACACGCTATCCTTCGGATCCAGGGCTGGTATCTCTTCAACAACCATGAATACTTCGGCTCCCGAAGAATCAGGATCTGAGTCAGAATCTGACGACGAAAAAGTCAAGGAGAGAGAGGATATAAGGAGAGAACGACGAAGGGAGCGAGAAAGAGAATACAGGTTATCAAGGATGGGTGCGGAACAAAGGGCCAAATATCTAGCACGGTTTGTTATTGACGATTTTTCCTGTTTATTTTAATTTTTTTTTTTTTTGCGAAAAAATTTACGAAACCTATTTCTTTCGTAGAGAGCAAAACAGAGATATATCCGAAAAGATTGCGTTAGGCCTCGCAAAGCCCACAGTCAGCAAAGAAAGTTTATATGACACCCGATTATTCAATCAATCTGAAGGACTCTCATCAGGGTTCAAAGATGATGAAGGTATTTCTTATCAATCTGTCAGATCATTACCTCTTTGTGCATTTATTGATTATTATTTTTTTCAGTTTATGACCTTTACGATAAACCACTCTTTGCCGGCTCAAGTTCTTCGAGCATCTACAATCCCAAGAGAGCCTACGATTCTGATCAATATGGTGGTGGCAATGAAGAGAGCATCAATAGGATGTTGAGTGTCGATAGGTTCGGGATTGCATCTAAAGGTTTTCAAGGAGCCGATAAGAATCAGGTTTGGTTTGGAATTTATGTTCTTCTCCTTTAGCTATGCAAAAAATATGAATTCATCATTCAAAAAAAAAAAAAAAATCCTACATCTAGACGAGGGAAGGGCCTGTGGAATTTGAGAAGGAAGAAGCTGATCCCTTCGGGCTCAATCAATTTCTGGACGACGCCAAGAAAGGTAGCAAACGGGGATTGGACATGTAAGTGACATTTCTCGGGAATTCATCAGATTTACATGCGCGCTTTCGCTAACAATGAATGTTCATCTACATCAGGTCTGAAAGTGGCAAGAGTAAGCGTCATAAAAATTAGAGAATGTAAAGAGATATTGTTTTTTTTTTTTATAAATAAAATATTTTATATGAAATTGCGATCATTTAATTAATTAATTTTGGATTGTGAAATTCACGTGTTCTCGAGAGTATCACACATGGCATAAAGTATCCCACTGGTCAAATTTGATTGGACAATTGCTAACTTTCGACTAAAAGATTTAACAATACAAGTGTCCCCCCCATTTGAACACAACTCTAACAACTACAATATAAGCAAAAGTTTTATGCTTGTTGTCCGTGGTTAACGTAGCTAGAGTGTTTCATCCGCTGTAAACTTCTTTTTCCTTCTTCCTGCCGGGACTCGCACTTACGATACCTATTTGAGATAACTGTAATCGCATAAACAAAAACTTTTTCTTTAGTCCAAGAGCACAAAGAAAATCCGTAAAAAAAAAAAAATTGTTGCAGATATTAAGAAACTTTTAATAAACCCTTTCAAAAATCCGTCAAAAAACAACTTTCGCATCTCGAGTGTTGATCGTTTGCGTCTCACACTGTGCTACTCGGATTCTAAATAAAGAGTGAGTACTCTTTCGTATGCACATCGCAACGAGTTTCTCAACTTTGAATTTATTTTATTTTATTTTTTTAAAAATCGCGCGGTGAAAAGAATGGTGAAAGTCCCGAAGGTACTCAAACCGGATTTCCGCCGTTCCGTTACAAAAGATAAAATATCGACGCCCATCGCTATTCCGACCAAAGCGCCACCCTCGATTTTACCACCCAAAAAAGTTATTAAGGCATTATACGATTACGAAGCAAATGCTCCACATGAGTTGTCATTTTCAAAAGGAGATTTTTTTCATGTCGTTGG